CTACAGCGAAATTAACGAAATTCATCATGATATTCATAATCATCAGCATCATCATCATTGAAAATAGCACTATAGAATACATAAGGATTTTCGATCATCTCTATCAAGGTTAGGCGTCTGTCTTTGTCTGTATCTGCCTGCAAAAAGAAAAAAAAAAAGGTATATATACAATTCAATGATGTGGGTTTCAACTTACTAGCAAGCCAACTATGCATTTTTTTTTCAACAAAATGGTTAAAAGATCCCAAGGCATAAACCCGCACATGAACATTAGAATCTTGAAAACTACAAAAATCATGTTTTCTACGTATAAAACTTCAACCAAGTTTCAGAGGGGATGGTCATTCTCCTAATGCCTAAACCATGAGCATATGTGAGTATCATGTCAATTATACTTGAAACAGAGCCATTTCCTAGTCAAATGGCAAGACATTACAATGCTAAGCCTTAGATTGGTTCAAGTCTTAAGAACAGCCGTTTCATTCCAAAATTGTTAGTCATCCATCCCATGACCAGGTTATCATCAGCAAGATAGATACAGCAGAAGGAGATATAGCAAAAAGAATGATATTTTCTTTTAATATGTGCAAAATATATTCTAAAATTAAATTAATTGAACCAGTATCCTGAACTCAGAATTGTAGTTTTATTATCCTGATGGCTAATCAGTTATAAAAGCCAAAATTGATTGTGGTTTGTTATATTCCTAATATTTAGGCTATGCTAAGAGAGTACAAGAAGGAGATCGTACTTGCTCCCAATCTCTACTTTCGGCAAACTCAATTTCATCATTGGAGTTATATTGAACCTAAGGTCATCACCTGTTTGCTATCTGGATGCTGCAATTATCAGCAACTTTTCTTTTCTCTGCCTCTTAAATGGTAAAAAATCTTACTTTCTCTCGCTCTCTCAATAATTTCAGGTTCTTCAAATATGTTTTCACATCTCTTGGTTCAGCAATTCCCCTCACTATTCCTTTTGAATTCTCTATTTCTAATTTCCTTGATTTTCTTACTTGAAAAACAGCTCCACAAAAATTCCTTTTTCTCTAGTTCTAAGCCTAGCCCTGCCATATTCTCTGCACCAATCTCCTGTGTTTTCCCCTCAACAGCTCATCATGAGTTTTTGTAAAAGTTCGGAACTTAAAAAAAAATAAAATCATAAATTAAATTCGAAAACGAAATAAAAAAGTTAAAGTTTACATTTATTACATAATAATTTAAAATACTCAAAAAGGTTACGAGAATGTTCTTTCTCAAATAATAAACGAAAATTAAAAAAATAAATGAAAAGTAAACAACTGAGTATTGTAGGGCGACCTTCACTATTTTTTGAATAAGTCCAGGTGGTGAACTATTCACAACCCCCTTATTGATCGAGATCTAGATGTTAATCCTTTTGATCTGAAATAATTAATAAATGGATGAACTACACTAACCCAGTATAAATATCACACTACTCATCGATACGGAAATTGAAAGTTGGTAAAAATTATAAAAACAAACAATTGAATTCTTAATTTAAGTAAATTCATTTATTATAAGTAAAACTATTTATTACATACTTACCGTCCGAGATTTCCAAAACCGACCTATAGAGACAATAACTCAACAACATCATAATCTCATATTCAAATGAACAAGAATAGTAACTTTTCCTCTTTATTTGCCTATTGATATCCCTGAGGGCCTATAGGAATATCCCACTACGTGTGAACCATTACTCAACATTGTCAACTAACCCGGCCGTCCCCATACCTCATCTGGTATGAACGCCAAGAATAACCATCCCTCATACCCCGTCCGGTATAAGGGTGAAACGGATCGTCCCCATCCCCCATCTGGTATGAGCGCCAAAAATACCAATTCTCGATATCTCGTCCGGTATGAGCGCCAAAAATACAAATTCTCGATACCCCGTCTGGTATGAGGCAATATTCACGGTAGGGTTCCCTATGTACCCAGTCCATCCACCATTTCCCAAGATATCCAGTAAGATTACCATTCATTCATTCACTTAACCAATCAATTTTCCATTTATATTTAATTTTTAGTTTCACAATTTAACCATAAATCAATGCAAGACAAACAATACATGTATTAATAAAACACAATTGAATCATTTTACCAATTCCAGTATATTATCATGCATTTAAACCTGTAAAATCAAACAATCGATTAAATAGAACAAATAATAAATGACTAACCCGTTTCCAGCTCTATTGATAATCTGTAATTAATTCTCGAAAAATTTCAAATTAAGCAAAATACCGTATTATTGATAATTAAACTTCAATTCTATAATAGGAAATAAGCTGAAAGATTCTTACCCAAATCGGTGTTTGAAACACTGAACTTTCAGCTGCGCCTATTGGTGGTCCTCAGATTTCCTGAATTTTCCTACGAAGATTAAAACACGCTTTACGTACCTAAAAATACCCTAAAAAACCCAAAATCGATGTTAAAAACTTTTTCTGGCCAATTTCAGAATTCCAACAAAGCGACAGCACTGTGCTCTGGCAACAGCACTGCCGCCCACGATAGTGGTTTGCCTCGAACTACCCGTTTTCAGCAAGTTTTGGTCGGTTACCGGCGACGAAATTTTCCGGTGCGGCGGCTCCGTCGGCTAATCTTCGCGGTTAGGCGTTTTTCTTCGGTCAACATGTAAAAAACAGAATGGTGAACACAATGGTAAAAAAATCGCACGAAATGGGAAACGAGAAGGGGCTCATCGGAGGCGTTTTCAGGTCTTGCCTGCAGCGGCGTGGGCTTTGCCCGCGATTTTCGGCTCATCCACCGTTCCTTTTACTCCGATTTAGCCATAGGAGTGCTCGAAATCAAATTTCGAGCGGATAGGAGAATTTTTACCTCTTTGGCGGTCGGAGGTGGCTTCGGCACAGCAACGGACGGCGGCTAGGGTTTGAGTTCGGTGTGATGCGAGATATTTATATCTGTCTTCCTTAAATCTGGGTCGTTCGTCGCATTTGATCGTCTCATCGCGTTTAAAGAGAAAATTAATCTGAACCGTTCATCGCGATTTGATCTCGACCGTACAATCGCGTTTAAAGAGGGAACGAATCTGACCGTTCATCACATTTAATCGCGATCGTTCGATCGCGCTTAAGAGAAAACGGATCCGGACTGTCCGCGCGCACGGG